ATTTATTTATTTATATAAAAAAATATTTATTAAATGATATGAAAAGAGTTTTCATAAAAAAAAAAAACTCTAAAAAACTCTAAAATTTACCTAATAAAATTCAAATTAACATATTTATCTATTTATTATTATGAATTTTATAATAAAAGAAAATCTAATTTTCATAGTAAAATATAAAAGCTCTGCCAAAGTGTTTATTTTTTAAAAAATTCATAATAATAAAAGAAAATCTAAAGTATTTCAGTATTTATTTATTTATATAAAATTTTTTTTATTAATTGATATAAAAAAAGTTTTTATCAATACTATTATTAAATATACAAAGAGTTTCAGTATTTAAGTATCTATTTATATAAAAAAATTATTTGTTAATAGATATGAAAAAAGGTTTTATAAAATAAAAAAAAATCTCTATCAAACTCTAAAATCTATCTAATAAAATTTAAATTAACCTATTTATCTATTTATTATTATGAATTTTTTAATAATAGAAAATCTAATTAGACAATAATTATTAATATAAAAATATTTATTATTGATATATGAAATAAAATAATTTGTTTAAAGTTCTACCACAAATTAACTTTTATTATGATTTTCTTAAGAAAATTAAATCTAATTAGACAATGATATATTTAAAGAAAATAAAATAATTTTTATAAAACTCTATCACAAATTACATATTTTATTTTCAATAAAACTCTATCATACTAGACAAAGATATAATATTTAAAGAGTTATAAAATTCTAACACAAATTACCTATTTATATATTTATTAAGAGTTTTTAATAAAAGGAAATCTAATTAGACAAGTGTTATTAATATAAAAAATTATTTATTAATTGATCTAAAAAGAGGTTTTAAAAGAGTTTCTATAAAACTGTTACACAAATTACCTATTTACCTATTTATTATGAGTTTTTTAATAAAAAGAAATCTAATTAGACAATAATTATTAATATAAAAATATTTATTAATTGATATAAAAACAGTTTTTAAAAGAGTTTCTATTAAACTCTAACAGAAATTACCTATTTATTTATTTATTATAAGTTTTTTAATAAAAGAAAATCTAATTAGATTAGAAAAACTCTACCACAAATTACATATTTATCAATTTATTTTGAGTTTTTTAATAAAAGGAAATCTATTTAGGCAACTATTGTTAATATAAAAAATTATTTATTAATTGATATAAAATGAGGTTTTAAAAGAGTTTTTATAAAACTCTAGCACAAATTACTTATTTATTTATTTATTAAAATTTAATTAGAGAATAATTATTAATATAAAAAAAATATTTATTAATTGACATAAAAAGAGTTTTTAAAAGAGTTTCTATAAAATTCTGACACATATTACCTATTTATCTATTTATTATGAGTTTTTTTAGTAAAAGAAAATATAATTAAAAAAAATAAAATAATTTTTATAAAATCTACCACAAATTGGCTTTTTTCTTTTCTATAAATTTTTATTACATTAGCTACAAAAATATTCAATACGTGCATCGCTCGTACCTTTTCCTAATATATATATATATATAGCTTTTGATCACCAATCCATGCCCTACTAGTAAAGTGGATTGATTATAATACTTAGGAGGTTTGGTAACTATTTATATTTATTATTTTTATAAACAAATTTGAAAGAAAAATATATTCGCGTTTATGTTTATAGATTCAGTTATATAATGAACCGTTCAATTTTATAGACGTGAAAACAATGTTTATGTTTATGTTTATGATTTTTTTTTTTTTTTTTTTGATATGAAGAAATCAAAGAACTAATAAACAAAACAAACTTTATTCTTTTAGTAGTTCTTCATAATAGATATCTTAAAATATCAAAATTTGTTAACTAAAATTAGTCCTCACGCGGCGACTTTCCAAAAGGAAAAAAATTAGTTTCAAAAAATTTAAAAATAAAAATAAAAAATAAAAAATAAAAAAAATAATTAATGAGTCCACGAGTTATAATGGGTTGATCTTGTACATTTTCAACCCATCCATTTTTAATCCGTTCTGAACGGGTTGAATATGGGTCTTGACCCATATTGACCCGCTCATTTTCAACCCAACCCAAACTCGACCCAACCCGCCCATTTACCACCCATAGGATATATTAGAATTAAGGATTGAGATCACTTTCTAAAACTCTCTACAAAACTATTTTCTCTTTTAGAATCTTCTTCAATCCACTAACTTTTACAAACCTTCCAATGTTTAGTGTCCTACATATATCTACAACACTCTGTGTTTTTTTTTTTTCTTCTTTCTTTCTTTTCGAAAGCGTAGAAGACCTTAGAACACAACTTTTTACATATGTTATGTAGACGTATTGTAGAATCTACAACGCTTCATGGCTCAATGTCTTGCATATTGTCGAAAGGTGCGAAACATGATCAGGGGCGGCTGGAGCCAGTGACAAATTCAGAAAAATTTGTGAGGGGGGCGGCCTTTTAATTTGTAAGGACAAACTTATAAAGTGGATCCATTTTTGTAACTTTAATAGGGTTTTCTTCATAATTTTTTAAAAAATTAAAGTATAAAATGCAAAAAAAATAAAAATTCAGTGGGGTCGAATTGTAATTTTAGTGGAATCATCTTCATAAATTCTAAAAAATTTGAAGTATAAAATGCAAAAAAAAAAAAAAAAAAAAAAAAAAAAAAAAAAAAATCCAGTGGGCCGACTTGTAATTTTAGTGGGGGCATTTTCATAAATTTTTTAAAAAATTAAGGTATAAAAGAAAATATAAAAAATTAAGTAGGAGCATAATTTTAGTGGGAGCATCTTCATAAATTCTAAAAAAAAATAAAGCATAAAATAAAAATATAAAAAATCTAGTGGGGCATCCGTGCCTGGTCAAGAGTTAGGCGACTAAGGCAAACCTAAACCAATAACAGAGATTTAAGAGTAGGCCAAAACAATTAACTTTCAATTTCTATCCTAATTTTTCCTCCTGTCTTGAGGTTCTTTACACCTATTGTATTAATTATTGATAATTATTGAGAATATATCAACTACTCTCTCTCTCTCTCTCTCACACACACACACACACAATTGATTGCATAAGGAAAAAAAGTGATTATTAAACAAACATAATTGATTATTATTTAAAATTAATATATTACATATTAAAAGTTACTTTTATATTGTTTGCCTAAGGCCACAAAATAATGACAAAAAGGTTGAAACAGTATTATAGGTAAGAGTAACCAATTCTATACAAAACCCTAACACTCCCCAAAACGGAAAAGAGAGAACCGCCAAGAAATTGCCAAACTGATTTTTTTTTTTATATTGCCTCACGCCCCCAGATAAGTTGCCCTTCTATCGTTGACAGCTTCTGCAATTTCTTCCTGTCAACGGCCAGCACCCACCCCATCCACCATCTCTCTCTCTCTTTCTCACTCACACGATACACACTTGCCATTCATTAAGAACCCTAATTTTCAATTTCAGCTGTTAGTAATCAAAAGCCTAATTATTATAAAGGTACATGTGCACTCTTTTTCCATATGGTTCAAAAATTTGCACAAGATGAAAGATAAATGTAAAAGTGATAGTGTATATTAAAAAAGATACATCTATTGAATTTATTATATAATATTGAGTGAATTACATTAAATCCTCTTTTTCTATCTGTGTTTTTCATTAAACCTCCCTTTCTTATTTTTTTGTCAATAAACCCCCCTCAACTATTCGAGGGAGGTGATTTAACTAACGGAAGTTAGTTGAAAGGGAACTGTTTGGACATTTAGTTTCTCATATATTTTTTAAACAAAAATGTCCTTATACTTATTTTAATATATCCTCACATATATATCTACTCCATTGTCACTTTTAGCCGCATATCTTCCACTATTGCAACAACATGTACTCTCATAATATTATAATATTATATATAATTTGTATCATAATATAATGGTATATATAATATGTACCATTAAATATTGTTTATACTATATTTTCATATCCATCCAGCCTTCAGACCAATATAAATCTAGATTTTTTTTTTTTGAAATTTATCAACTATATATATATTTGAGAATTATATTGTGCATTCATTTATTTGGTTTTTATTGATTTTTATTTTATATAAATTTTTTAAACGGACACTACGAGAAATAATACTTAATTTTTTTTCCTTTTTTATATTAATATTTATGCCTACATGTTTTCTTCTTCTCCTTCTTTTATATATATATATATATATATATATATATATATATATATATATATATCATTTTTTTCTATAAAAAAATAAAAAATTTCTTCCGTGTGACTAATGTGAATTTGCTAGTCTAGTAAAATGTTAAAACAAAAAAAACAATACAAGTGTTAATTTGTGTGAATGATGTCGTTTATATTATTTAATAAATAAAAAAATAAGAAGCAAAGTAGATTTTCAAATAGACTTTAATGGGTATTTAAGTCAATTTATATTTAAGTTCTTTTTCAACTAACTTTCGTTAGTTAAATCACCCCCCTTGAATAGTTGAGGGAATTTTTTTGGGAAAAAAGTAGAAAAAGAGAGTTTAATAAAAAATATAGATAAAAAAGGGAGGTTTAATGTAGTTCACCCTATAGCATTTGCAAGACGTAAAAAGTTGGTTATGATAATTATAAATGTATTCAATGGAATTATCGTGAAAGTTGAAGTTCTACATAATTTTCTGCATAAGTCCCAAATAAGCCATTCGTATTAGGTTATGATTCAAAACTAACTGACCCTTTATCACTCGAAATAGGCTTGAACTAAAAACGTTATATGACCCGTATCATCAACCAATTATATCTTATCACATAAATAAATTATTTATTTATTTTCTGTTGATACAACATCATACTACCACTATGTATAAGTGCTTAGGGTGATATATTATGTTACTAGTACAATAAAGTATTTTTGGAGAAATAGGCGTTTGTAGTGTGAGTTTTTACAATTGATATATACATCATTCATTGGCCTTGGACTCACTTTTGACGATCCATTGAACCAGGACAACCCGTCACGAACCCAAGGCCTGAACCATAGTGCTTTTGGTCGAACCCTCTCAACACGGTCAACCATCGACTCAGTTTTTCATCCCATGCCACCATCGAACACTGGCATATCCCTACACTACTCTTCAGCCGCTGAACTCACCATTTCTGTTATTTAGAGCTCTCTCTCCCGATCCAAACTAGCATTATGCTTCAGAAACCCTAAATCCTGAACACACATTCATGCATGGAGTCCTCACCATCGCCGCCGTCCGCCGCCCCAAGATGTTGATACGATCAACGGCCATCATCGTCGTCAAACCAGGTCAGTTCACTCTGTTCCCTCTCAACGCCTTCCTTCAATCCTTATCTTCCATCGCTTCAGCTCCTGAACCACCCCTCCCCTCAAGCTCAGATCCCGATCAACACCCACCATTCGATATCTCCTCCCAACTCCTCTCTCTCCTCTCTCGCCCCAATTGGCAGAACAACCCATATCTCAGGAATCTAATACCATCCATATCGCCTTCCCATCTCTCCACTTTCTTCACCAGCAACCCTAATCTCAATCCCCAAATTGCACTTTCCTTCTTCAACTATCTCTCTCAAAGACCCAAATTCAGACCCAATGTCCAGTCCTATGCGTCTTTATTGAACATTCTTGTTCGTAATAGGTTTCTGGGTGTTGCTGAAAATGTCCGTATTGGGATGATCAAATCGTGCCATTCGATTGAAGATGCACTGTTTGTGCTGAATTTTTTGAGAAATATGAATACTTGTGATGGTGAATTTAAATTTAAGCTCACTCTTAAATGCTATAATACGCTTCTGATGACTTTAGCAAGGTTTCTTATGATTGTTGAAATGAAGACGGTGTATTTACAGATTTTGGATGATAAGATTCCACCGAATATATATACTTTTAATACCATGATTAATGGGCATTGTAAATTGGGGAATGTGGTTGAGGCGGAGTTGTTTAAAAGTAAGATTTTACAAGCGGGGTTGAGTCCAGATACACACACTTACACATCGTTGATATTAGGCCATTGTAGGCGAAGGGATGTGGATAGTGCATTTAGGGTGTTCACAATAATGCCACGAAAGGGTTGCCGGAGAAATGAGGTTTCGTATACTAATATTATTCATGGGTTTTGTGAAGTGGGAAAGGTTGACGATGCTCTCAAGTTGTTCTCACAGATGGGAGAGGATAATTGTTGTCCAACTGTTCGGACATACACAGTTCTCATAGATGCATTGTGTGGATCTGGTAGGAAAGTGGAAGCATTGAATTTATTCGAGGAGATGACAAAGAAAGGCTGCCAACCGAATGTTCACACTTACACTGTGCTCATTGACAGCATGTCAAAAGATAACAAGCTTGATGAAGCAAGAAGAATGTTAAATGAAATGTTGGAAAAAGGGTTGGTTCCAAGCGCTGTGACATATAATGCTTTGATTAATGGGTACTGTAAGGAGGGAATGGTTGATGCTGCATTTGAAGTATTTGATACGATGGAGTTGAATAATTGTAGTCCAAATGTTCGCACCTTCAATGAATTGATTTGCGGGTTATGTAAGACCAAAAAGGTGTACAAGGCAATGGCACTACTTAATAAGATGCTTGCCCGTAAGCTGTCACCTAGCCTGATTACTTTTAACTCGTTAATTCATGGACAATGTAAGGAGGGTCATTTAAATAGTGCTTTTAAGTTGCTTAGTTTAGTGAATGAGAATGGTCTGGTTCCTGATGAGTGGACTTATAGTGCTCTTATAGATACCCTATGTAAGAAAGGGATGGTGGATAAAGCTCATGCAGTATTTGATTCTCTCAAGAAGAAAGGCATAAATGTAAATGTAGTGATATATACTGCTCTGATTGACGGGTATTGCAAGGCAGGGAAAGTCGATCCTGCCCTCAGTTTGTTTGAAAGAATGCGTACAGAAAACTGCATTCCAAACTCAGTCACTTACAACGTGTTGATGGATGGGTTGTGCAAAGATAATAAAACACATGAAGCATTGGAATTACTGGAGAAGATGGTAAAGATCGGGATGAAGCCCACAGTTATTACATATACAATTATCATTGAGCAAATGTTGAAAGAATATGCATTTGACCATGCTCAGAGGGTTTTTGAACAAATGGTTTCCTTGGGATATAAACCTGATGTTTGCACGTACACTTCATTTCTTCTTGCATATTGCAACCAAGGAAAGTTGAAAGAAGCAGAGAATGTGATGGCTAAAATGAATGAAAAAGGTGTTCTGCCGGATTTTATGAGTTACACAGTGTTAATTGATGGGTATGGGCGATCTGGATTGACACATCATGCTTTTGATACTCTCAAATGTATGGTTGATGCTGGATGTGAACCTTCTCATTATACCTATTCTGTTTTAGTTAAGCATCTCTCAAATGAAAAGCGGATGAAGGAAAATAGCGACAGACTAGGACTTGGTTTGAATTCAAAAGCTGCCTCAGTTAATATTGCTGATGTCTGGAAAGTTATGGATTTCAATACTGCGCTGGAACTTTTTGAGAAAATGACTCAACATGGTTGCACACCTGATGTTAAAACTTACAATTCACTCATTACAGGACTTTGCAGAGAGGGGCGCTTTGAAGAAGCTTGGAGGTTGGTTAATCATATGAAAGAAAGAGGAATATCTTGCAGTGAAGATATATATACCTCTCTTATTAATTGTTGCTGCAAATTGGGAATGTATGGTGAAGCAGTGAGGCTGGCAGATGCTATGGTTGAACATGGTCTGCTACCGCATCTAGAGTCCTACAAAATGCTTGTTTGTGGGTTATATGATGAAGGGAATGTTGAGAAGGCTAAAGCAGTATTCTGTAGTTTGCTTCATTGTGGATACAATCATGATGAAGTAGCTTGGAAGCTTCTCATAGACGGCATACTTAAAAGGGGCCTTGTTGATAGGTGTTCTGAACTAGTAACTATCATGGAGGAAAAGGGTTGCCAGTTCAGTCCTCAAACATATTCAATGTTGGTTGAGGGGCTTGATAGAACAGATGGGACATAAGACATGAATTCCAATATATGTTTTTTGTCATTGGGATTGCCTTGCATCTCTAGCAAGAGTGGTCTTTGGTGCTCATGTTGGTGAAGGCTAAGAGCATACAAGTGCAGAACCAAATTCTTTTGACACAAGCACTCGAGATGAGTTCTTGATTTAATAGAAGTGTAATCAGTTTTATCAATAATGGAGCAGTAACTGTTAGTGAATTGCATTCCAATTACCACTTGGATGTTTCAACAGCCAAATAGAGCAGTAGCTTCAGAGAAAGTGAACAGATTCTAGTGACAAACAAGAGGCAAGTGACTCTCTACATTTTCAACTCATTTTCTTGTTTTCCTTCATGTTCTTTTTTTTTTTGTGTCTTTGATTTCCTCTTTTCTTTAGAACAAGCAGTGCAGAAAGATTGCTCTTACATTCTACCACCACATGCTGGAACACAGTTTCTTTGCTTTTATCTCACAGCTATGTAGTCCGTGTTGTCATTTTTATGTATTGGGAATGATTTTTCCCCCTTTAGTAAGCCAGTTCATTGATGTGAAAATTTTGTGATGTCAATACAAGTAAAAGTATCATTAGGAAACATTTAGAACGATGGTGCAGCCATGTGCACTTGTAGTTTTTATTTTTATTTTATCTTAGAAAAAGCGCCTGAAAGTAGGTGTATTCTGAGAGAGAATAGAAGTTGGTATGCCGTAGTCCAAGTTCAGTCGTGAGTATTTTGGTCCTATCTTTTTTGCACATAGGGAAATTGGTTGGAAATTTGTTGCCAGGCTGTTCAGAATAATTATCACAATAATTGATTTGAAAGTTAGTACTGACTAAATGTGCTTCTAGAGGAGGACCTAGATAAATATAGCATAGTGGCAACCAGAGCACTGGACATTTCCACGTCTCAAGTCATTGTGATGTTAAGGGGAGCTTACAGCTCCCAACAAATTGTAAAGATGTAATGTTATGTTAATGCCCATTGGTTATTAGGAGCTGTATTCTCAAGACATAAGTTCTATAATGAAGCTGTATAAGAATCTAAGAGTCCTGCCAGTATGTTATAAAGATCATAAGAATTTAAACTGCATGTACTATAATGTGATGTTAAGCTGCCCATATGTTATATAGACCATAAGAATTTAAATGGTAGTCCATCAGGATGTTGCTTGTTCTATGTTAATATCTTATAATATCATGTTACTTTGATATATTATTTGGTAGGACCTTAGATTAGCGTCCCCTATATAGTTGCGTCAATATGTTATGTGGTTAGACCTTATGCTACCATTGCTTGATAAACGTTATCTCAGCTTATAATCTATGGGACTTTTAAATTGCACAACAGGAAAGGCTCTTGGTTGAGGATCATGGCAGACAATCTTATGCATAAGCTAGCCTTCGTGGGATTTGGTATCAATAAGTATGGTGTACATTAAGCTTTGATCTACTTAAAATAATCGCAATGCCAACCCAAATAGTTATAATAAGGCTTGCCAGTGCATAGTGGTTAAAGTGCTGGCATGGCCTTTTTTGAAAAGAGTGAAGTGGGTTAGCCGGTTAGGGAAGAGAGAGAAAAAGAAAAAAGGAAGTTAGATTAATGCTTGATAAAAAGGGATGATTTACAATTGCGGAAGTAAGAAAATTATGTTCAAAATGATTGAGAAACGTGGATCTACGAAATTCCTAGGGATAGTGCTATAGAAAGATGTGCTGCTACTGTTCTTGTAGGAGTTTAATATACATGACTGAATATATATATTTTTTGTTTTATTTATTTGGTTTTTTGGGGGGTGGGTGGGCGTTGTTGTAGATTTAGGAGTAGGCACAAGGCTTGGAAGAGGCCCTGCTTACCTTTGGGAGCGGAACCACTGTTCTTTTGAGGGTGTAGAGTAGTTGATTTGTGGGATGTTACACGGTTGACAGGGAGAGTGAACTCCTCTGCAGAATTTTTTAGATGTTGTAGTTTGGATGAGAAATGTCCTTGTAGGAATGGTATACTTCTGTTTATTTTTTATATTTATTTTTTCCTCTTTCCATAGACATCGTATGCGGATGGGGTTGGACCCTCTTAAGTCTTGGGTGCTTCTTAATGAATTCTTACTATCGCCAAGAAGAAGAAAGATGAATGATTGACATATTTACTTTTTCTTTTTTCTTGTGTTCCCTAATCTTTCTGACTGCTGCCATCTATATATATATTTTCAGCAAGTATAGCTACCATCTATATTTTTGTGTGACGATAAAGTATGAATCACTGATATCTCAGGGAAGGGATGCTTTTGGAAGGGATATTTGAACACATGAGAAGTCACTTGGATTGGAATGTCATAGGACCTTCTAATTTGCTATAAGCAACCTGAAAGAAGATAATGAGGTAAATGAGTTTATCTACAGGGACTGTATTCTTTCCCTCTTATCATTCTATAAAACTGATACACAATTTTACATATTTTGTTGGTATTCTACAATCATTGCCAATCTAAATTAGCCTGTGACATTACCTAGTTCAACTATTCTTCAGTTCCATATGGTCTTGATTTGACTTTGGCATATAAACTGTTCTTTCTTTTTTCTTTCTCCTTTGAAATACTTCTTAACTTCATTCCTGTCACTGTAGACAAGGTTTATAGCCACGGTATCAATCACTAGCTTGAATGACGAAAGTTACGATTTGGTTGTGGCATATCAGATCAGAGTATGCTGATATGCAAATAAACACTACATGCAACATTTTGAAGCCTCTAAAAAGAAATATGAAAAATTTAGAACCAATTTGAATTACAAAAATGAAGGAACAAAATAACCCAATGCAACACTTAACACATAGCATTGTCTAAAACATAAAAGTACTATCAAAATAGACTGCTATAATATTGCATGGCATTGCATGTTTTTTTTGGGTAAAGCATAGCACTAGATGTTAAATATCCAATACATTCTTACAACACATCTTGTTGGGTTGTACATATGGGGGAAAGAATACGGCGTGAATTTTTAGCAGCTCATAGGTTCAGTATTTACTTAAGTAATTCAGCAATTCTTAGTTTGAGTTAGTGAGTTAGCTGGTGGTGTGACTACCCCCAGAAGCTGATACAGCAAAGAGAGAAGTGTGGGATATTTTAGAGTTTGAAGATCAGTTGAACAGTTCTTCTGGAATGGGAATGTAGGCATCTTTTGGTATGTTTAGCTGTTGTTTGCTGAGCCTGAGGAACTACTGTTTGTGAGTTCTTAGCTGTATATGAGCATCTTTTCTGGCAAAGCAATACACGAGTTAAACTCGCACCATTTTGAAAAGCTCCTTTTTTCCCCCTTCCTAGCTTTTAACGGTGTCGTAGTATGTTGAAGTTGGCATCCTTTGGAACTATGAGTTCACATTTTTGTCCCCGTTTTCCAGCTTTTCCATTGAAATCAAGCTTGTATGATGTCACATTCTTGCTAGAACAGTTTATAAAATTCCTACAAGTTGTGTCTGTAAGATCTAGTTCTTTTAGTAAGCCCTGGGAAGATTTACATTTCTGGAAGCTAGGTTACCGAGATAAGGTTAAGGATGAAAATGTCAGTTATATCTCATGGTTGAGTTTTAAGATGAACTCTCAAGCTCAGTTTGGACTTTTCCTGTTTCCATTAGGACTTGGTTAATTAGTATCTAATTAAGAGAGAGAAAAATTTTACCACTTTTTTAAAGTGCTGTATATTTTTAAATTGCTATTTTTCATATGTCATTTTATTTATTTATTATTTATTATTTATCTTTTTTAACTATTTTTTGTCTGCAAAATTTGGTTAGGGGTAAACGGAACAAGAACTTACGCAAAAAGAATTTCAGCTATAATGATGGCGGCCTTCTGGAGAAATTAGGAAAGAAGGTAACTTAAATTTTTCGTATATATATTTTTTTCATTATTCAATTAGAGAAAGGAACCTTCCTATTAAGGATGGTGGAAATTTAATTTAATTTTTAATTTTTATAATATAAGCTTGTTTATCTTGAACATTGGATAAAAAGAGAACATGAAAAGTAATTTACGCACTTGTTTTATTGATTTTGTTGTTAGCAATGAGGCAGCAGGAATAAGATCCACCACATGGATAAGGGAAACATACTCAGCAGCAGAAGAATGGCCTGGTTCGCTACATAATTTGCCACTTCCCCTCTTAATCTTGCATTCACATGCAGTCTCACAATTGCCACTTGAGTGTCATCTATGGTTCAGTGGTTTAGATTAAAGGAACTGAAAACAGTTGCCTGTTGCTTCTATCTTCCTTAGACTTTGTATAAAACAAAGTCTTTAGCTCCTCGCAGATATACCACGTCTCGTGCCCCTGAGAAATACAAATCATTCTTCAAGTGATTACTAAACGATTACCGACAGGCAAGCACCACAAAATTATTGAAGTTGAGATATCAGATTCTCTCTTTCTGCTCAAATTGTGTGGTAAGCAAGCTTCTTATGTGATATAGGTAGAATTCCGTTGAACTTGTTTGACAAATTTTGAAGTTGAAAATATATGCTTCTTTTTACATTCTTGTTTCATTAAGTAGAAAATTTTGAAGTATAGATTATTTTTATCTATTAGCCAGAGAAAAATCTATCACCATTCCTTCATTATTGGATCTATTATTAACTATTATCTATAGATTCTTGTTAACTGTATATAAAAATAGACCAGGTAATCTCTATCAAACAACAGATGCAAGCTATGCAACTTGTAAAAGGTGGATAAATAGGACTCCAAAGCAGTGTGTTTGGTGCTCACTCGCACTGTTTATACCACAATCTATCCACTTAAGTGTTGGTACCATACATAAGAACAACATTTTTTTCAAGTCTAAACTCAACACTAAGAATAGTAATACAATATGAATTGTTTGTGTTTTATGAATGCTTTCATTCGAATCCTTATTTTCCTAATTTTCTCACTTTTACATCTGACAAACACTTATATTGAGTTTCCTAATAATTGTTTGTATTATTTTATTTTAATTTAGTGCAGGACTCGGTAATTATATATATTTTTATATTTCATTCATAACTAAGCGTTTACGAGAGAGCTGAGAACGTCTTAGTATTTTTTATACCATTTTGATTTTATGCTGTTGGAGTAGTTTATTTTGTTAAATCTTGATTATGTTCTCAATAAATAAAACAAAAATATTTACGCATTTATGTTTAGTACCTAAATTTGCTGTATAATGTATTTGCTTCAATCTCAGCATGAAAGGAGGCTATTTGGTTATTTCAGATAAGTTGGATTAGTTGCAGATCAATGTGGTTGTGCACTTGAGAAACTCTTGGATTATAGTATTATACCAAAACATAATGATTTAGATTACATTAAGTGTAGTGGTGTTGATGAAGTAGTTTTTGTTTTTTCCTTTTCCTGGCTGATGAAGTTCTTTAAAAGAGTATACAATTCTACATACAATTGCCGAAATGAGCTATAGAATTTGTCAAATTGAAGCTAGTGTGATATTGATGAAGTAATTGATTTGGGTTGTGGATATAAACTTGCCCTCGTTGCCTCAGAAAACATGTCTCCTCCTGAGTGCAAACAATTTCTTGTAGAGTTAGGAACCCTTTGAATTGGATTTTTTTTTTTCCCTTTTCGCGCGGGGATTTACAGGTTATTATTGAATACTACCTCTCTAATATAACCTCCAAATTCAAAATTAATTTAACAAGTAATCTTTGTACGAAATTAAAATTCAAGAAAATATTCCCTTGTAATTAAACTAAAATCTATTTGTCATGACCATATTCCATTTACCATTGATGACATGTGGAAGCACCACCAGCCCTATCAATGGCCTAGGTGATATGGTGTTAGATGTTCTTGGGACGTCCAAGGGTAGCGATGGCCTAGGTGATAGGGTGTTAGATGTTCTTGGACGTCTAAGGGGAGCGGTTTAACCTTTGGGCTTAGAAGGACGGGTATGTAACACCAATCAATAATTTAAGTACTTGAGTCAGTGTAAAAACAAGTTCATTTCTTAATCCGAGAGGGTGGGCTTCTATATATATATTTTTTTCATGTTTAGGCTCAATTTTAAACAAGCAATTATAGTTCATAAGCTTAGATTTGGTTGGACCAACCCACACAAATTATGTCCAAATATCATAGCAAAATTAGTACTCATGAGGTTGGATTTACCTATAGTTACTCTTTATCATAATACAATTGTATGTGGCCCAATGATCTTTACTCTACACTAGTCCTTGTACATGCCATAATCACTTGAAAAATCTGACTAATTTTATAAAGTTGATGTTATTATGATGATCTCAGCATTCACACATATAAATTAGTCAGTGTTGTCGGACTTTCGAACTCTAAATTATTATATATATATTTTTTCATCTGAATATTCATGATATGATAATGATGTCAGTATTCATTTATATAAATCAGTGGTGTTTCAGACTTCAAATTATTATCCTAAGGCTATGTTTGGCGGCACGGAATGTCTTGAAATTGGAATTGGTAAAATTGAAAAAAAATTTAGTTCAATTATTTTTTATTTTTTATTTTTATTTTTTGCCCAATTTTAATTCGAATTTTAAAACTTCAATTCCATACAATCAAACATACAATCAAACATGACCTAAGTTTCTTTTTATTGTAGTGTCTTAAGTCTGCAGTTGGATCAGGAAAGTGATTGTTGAAGACTTGCATAAGACTTCTACGTAAACCAAGTTAAATCCTTTTCGATGTTAATGTAAAACCGACTCCTAGTACATTGATTGACACACTCGGCAATATATATATATATATATATATATAGTAATCTTCTTTCGCGTTTTAAGTTCAAATGAGACTCTCATTATAGTCATAATCTCACCAACTTTTAGAAGATTTAAGACAATCATGTTATTTGTTTTCATCATATTTTGTTTTTAATTTTTTTTTTTTTTGCCTGAAGCTGTTTGTCAATTGGCATCATGATTAAGCACGCATGATGAAAACAACTAGAAATGAAAGCCGACTTAAGAATTTTCCATCACTGCCGACTATTAGAACATAAGCATGATGAAACCACAATTTCTATTTTTCCTTACATTACAAAATAGAAATTGAAGCCAGTCCTACTAAAGTACATAGAAGATTCTTCAAAATTTGGTTTTTTAGAAAGTGATTTAAATTTTCAATTTAAATTTGATAAGATAAATAATTTAAAAGTAATATTCAGGGGAAGATTTTGAATTTGACTTGGGCTCTTCAACCACACAAACAAAAATGAAGAATTATAATAACTACATCACTAATTTCTACTAATTATGCAAATTTAAATTCTCGGAATTACTTTACAAGATTTTTTTTTGAATTTAAAATTACCGAACACACCGAAAAACACAAATTAAATTTTTTTTTTTTTAAGCGTTTATCATCTTAGACAATTACATTACCCTCGAATTCATTTGTCAACAAAAATTGATGGGACGAAATGATCACCTTAGTAGATTGCACAAAAGAATTTAATGTGGGTTCAGAAAAGAAAATAATAATAATAATAATTTAATGTGGGTCCCACGTTAAAGCATTTGGCTGTTACAAACTGATCTGGCTTGCAAAAAATAGGCTAAGGGAATCTGCTCTTCCTTTTCTCTCTCTTCTTTATTATTATTATTATTATAAAAATTAATAAATATTAGGAATTTGTTGGCATCTAAGAACCTCCTAATGCCTAGTTTGAAGGAAATATAACGTGTTGACGTTTTTTTAAATGCAATTTCATTAGTTAGATGATGCAAAAATTGATAATATGTCGAATTATTAGCAAAGTTTTCTTTGTATATTCTCAATTTTTCTACTAAAAATGTGGAATTAAAAACTCACAATTTAGTATGTTCCCGCTTATTCGAGAAAATATGGCAGAATTCGTTTAAATTTATCAGGGCATTACCGGTCTTGAACATTTCAATTGGTAATGGTTTTTTTGCTGATATTTAGCAAGCACTATAATTAGCCTGGTGGGAGAGAGGTTTTTATCTCAGCAACAGCAACAATCAAATTGCCCAAAATTTGTCATACCCTATTTGTGAGGTGAATGCACCTAAAATTAAGGAGTTAGGTTTTGTCTTGGGAATAGATGCAAAGACCAATGCAATAAAAAAAAGAAAACGAGTCAGTTCCTTGTACAATTTCAGTTGAAGTTAGACATGGGCAGGTGTGGATAGGGATGGTTGTTGAAACCCTAAGCATAGAGAGGGTAATTGGACTTTACAAGTGCCCAAATCCCCATTTCAGAATTGAATCACTTTTCTCACATATATGCAACCCTCCACACCAAACTGCTCAACCACTCTACCCCACCATTCACACATATATATAACTATATCATCTTTCTCTCCTCATTTCCTCATAATCATCTATCCCCCAAATAACATTTCCGTAAGATAAAAGACCTCGAACCCTGTCCCAAGGATTGAAGTACAAATAGACTCCAAACCCGAACAGGCTTGGGAGAATTGGTATCCTAACAACATCTTGCCACATTCAATCTCTTTCATTCCTCGTAGAATCACAAAGAAAGAATAGGACATACCGACATATTAGACATTGTATCATTGACATTGTAAGTAGCTGATTTCATATGATTACTCTGTTTTCAATATAATGATCATTGGTTTTTGATTGGCAAGTGTTTGATTTTAAAAAAAATTGTTTTCCAGGTATATTTTCCTTTTTGATTAAGCCTCCCTAATTACAAATTTGGCTATAATTGTGATTGATTGACATGGCTAATATGTTGAGACCCATGTTATTATTCTCTTGCATTCTCATTTCTCTGTTCTTGTCAACCTCTGCTCAATCATGTGCCAAGTATGCTTTTCCAAAAAACCAGGTCTTTAGTGCCTGCAATGATCTTCCATTTTTGGACTCTTTTCTTCATTGGACTTACAACCCTTCAACCAAAACTGTCCAAATTGCCTATCGGCACACCAAAATCACATCTTCGAAATGGGTAGCATGGGCAATTAATCCGAGTTCCAAAGGCATGGTTGGGGCACAGGCACTTGTTGCTTTCAGAAAATCTGATGGAACCGTGAGAGCTTATACGTCTCCGGTAACTAGCTACTCAACCCAATTGCAAGAAGGAAAACTGGCTTTCGAGGTCTCAGGTTTATCTGCCACGTTTTCGAAAGATGAAATGACCATTTTCGCTACCTTGAAATTGCCAAGCAATGGAACCACTGTGAACCAGGTTTGGCAAGAAGGTCCGCTTTCAGGTAATGCTCCTAAGATTCATGAAACTAGTGGACCTAATGTGCAATCCATGGGGACTCTGAATCTTGCTTCCGGCAAATCAGTGACAACAGGAGGATCAAATTCCAAAACCAAGAGAAGGAATGTAGGTGACTAAATTTTTGTTCAACTATAATTTATATTGACCTTCTGCTTTATTTTAGTATGCTGTCTAAATTGAAATAAAACTAATAGCATAAATGTGGTGTCCAAAACCAAGAGAAGGAATGTAGGTGACTAAATTTTTGTTCAACTATAATTTATATTGACCTTTTGCTTTATTTTAGTATGCTGTCTAAATTGAAATAAAACTAATAGCATAAATGTGGTGTTCAGTCTCCTGTTTTCATTTTCATATATTGTTAAATAAAACTATAGGAATGTAAGTGACAATTTTTGCTTAACTATAAACAATATTTATTGATTTTTGCTCTATTTTAGTATGTTGTCTAAATTGCAATAAAACTATAGCATAAATGTGGCGTTCAGTCTCTTGTTTTTCATCTTTCTAAATGGTGATGCATGTAGTTTTTCTGAGTGCAATTATGTAGAGTTGGTTCGGTTTTATGCTATGTTTGTTGACTTCTACTTTTGTCTTCTACAAGACACATTTTCATATATTGTTAAAGACTATACCTATTCTCTGTTGATTTCTGGGAAATTCTATAGTGCTTAATATAATATGATGTATAAATCATAGCTTATTAATAGTTTTTGTGTTATGCAAACCTTGCACGGTCCGTGGATTAGTCGGGGCAAAGCCCTGAACACTAGAGGTGGTTGAGATTGTGTAGTTGCGACTGCATTTAAGTTATTTAACATTTCCAGGAATCCTCTATGAAGTACCAACTCAAATCTTATTTTTACTACTTTCACCATCTTCTGGTTGTAAGATATCAGATATTCTTTCCCTTTTCACCTTTTCAAGGTACCCAACCAGAAAGTGTATCATTATTTTATTTTCTCCTAATGTTTTGAGATGTTTTCTTCTGGAAAATAAAATGCTTTGAGATCTTCCTTCAAGGAGACACAGATAAAAGGGCTAGCTAGAGCTTAATGCCTTCCCTCCCCATGCGGAGAAACTGTTTCATTTTAATATAAAATATAAAAAATGTTCCTTTCAATTATCAGATGAAAAATTTTCATTTACAATACTAAATTTATACATGCATATATATATATATATATGTTCTTACTATGATGGGGTGAATTTTCAGATACATGGGATACTGAATACAGTGGGTTGGGGAGTTATGATGCCTATGGGCGCTATAATTGCAAGGTACTTGAGGGTATTCAAACGTGCGGACCCTGCATGGTTTTATCTTCACGTTTCTTGCCAACTCTCAGCCTACATTGCTGGTGTTGCTGGATGGGCAATTGGTATCCAGCTTGGTAACGAGAGCCCTGGCACTCAATACCCTACCCACAGAAATATTGGGATTGTCCTATTCTGCTTCGGAACCCTTCAGGTATGAATGAACACATCAAATATTTTGCTTTAATTGATGGCCTACAAAACATCATCTCATATTCTCACATGTATGTGTACACACACACACACACACACACACACACACACACACGTCTATTGTGAGGACATGTATCAATCTGGTTTGTCTTCTCAACCATTGAATCGAGAGTTAATGTGGCTTTTTTTTGGGTCTGAAAGAGAGTACTTAGGTTCTCTCGATAAATAAAGAGTATATCGTGTCTAAATCTAGCTTAATAATGGCGGTGGTGGAGGAACTAGATCCGAAAAAAGAGAGACCTCCTCCCCTTTTTTCCTTTTTTCAAATCAAACAACTTCATAACTCACTAATTTTCTTTCTTACTAGAGCATAAGCCATTGCCACCACAAAAGGGAGCTAATTGCCATTCTTTTTTTATTAAAATTAAAAGTGTGAGGTGTGAGGATGAATGAATGCATCCCCTAAATTATTGGATTGAGATTTCTCTCAATTTGACATCTTGTATTAGAAGGGATCCTTATTTTTCTTTTTAAAATAAAAGAGTGGGGGTGTGAGGAGGAATAAACAATTCCAAATTGAGTTGAAAGACTTCTCTCAAATTGACATCTCGATATCTAAGAGAATGTGCTCTTAACGAGTGAGTACTCTTCTCTCTCTCTCTCCTGCCCACCCCCTAATTTTTTTTTTTAATTGTTATATTAAATTATATTTGTTATTTACTTGAAATGAGGGAACTAGCTTCTCTTTGGTTTTAGGTGTTTGCTTTGCTTCTAAGGCCAAACAAGGATCACAAGTACAGATTTTACTGGAACATGTACCACCACTCTATAGGATACTCTACCATCATCCTTAGCATCATCAACATATTCAAAGGGTTTGACATCTTGAAGCCTGGGAAGATGTGGGAAAAAATTTATGTGGGCATCCTGGTGTGGTTGGCATTCAATGCAGTACTGTTGGAAGCTTATACATGGTACATTGTTGTGAAGAGGAAGAAGACATCAAACATGGAAAAGATGTCCAATGGGAATGATGGATTATATGGGTATGGTCCAATGAGAGATTAGGAGTGACATGTTGTTTCATATCTTTATATTAATTGTCAATGTTCTTAATTTATGTTGTTTTAATTATTATATTTTAATTTTTTGGTTAGGTAAAATGTTCAAAGATGATACCCACGAATGCCTACTATGAGAGCTTGAACCTCTCACCTTCTCTTTAAGGGAGGAGAAGTTATACCAGCAGTACTAATAGAAGTTTTAAATATTATGTTGTTGTACTCTTATATGTATTTATCATCTATAATCGTGATGAGTATGAGAGAATTAGGACAAGCCATGTATTTGGGGGAGCTTAGGGTTAGATATATATTTTCAGAGTTACGGAATTGTTGTGCTGGATTACTAAATGAATTTGGGTTTTTATATATCAAACCTCCGGTTGTTTGTCTCTTGGTTTGCATGTGATTTTTAATTCATTACTCCATTAATGCTTAATCTGATTTTTTTTTTTTTTGTCTCCAATGATCTGTAATACTTGTGAAAAGACGCCAAAAAGACCTAAAATGAATTGGGTACCGCTTATGGTTTTAGTTCACAATATCGAGTTGTGTAATCCTAATTTGTAATAATTGTAGTGCAAAGGTATAGGTTACCAAAACCTTGATTTTTCCCAAGCACTGCATGTGTGTTTTGACTTTGTTAATATGTCACAAATTGAATGTTTTTAGGTTTTTTTAGATAAATATTCTCGTAAATGTATTGCCAAATTCGAATTCCTCACTTTTTTATTTGTAGTAAAAATTTGTAATTGTCTATATATATATATATATATTTTATTAGTAAACAAAGAGTAATGATATTTTTTACCTTTCAAATTGAAGATTCAAGTCTTCTTAAAAGTAACGCATGGTGTGTAAGCGAATTTCTAGTCCGACGTAATAATTAAAAATAAAGTATATTTATATTGATGTATAACCTATAACTAGGAGAGGGGCTAGGGAAAACCCACCCCACCAAGGGGTATGAATACATGACTTAATATGTCACAAATTGAATGTTTTTAGGTTTTTTTAGATAAATATTCTCGTAAATGCATTGCCAAATTCGAACTCCTCACTTTTTTATTTGTAGTAAAAATTTGTAATTGTCTATATATATATATATATATATATATATATATATTATCAGTAAATAAAGAGTTATGATATTTTTTACCTTTCAAATTGAAGATTCAAGTCTTCTTAAAAGTAACGCATGGTGTGTGAGCGAATTTCTAATCCGACGTAATAATTAAAAATAAAGTGTATTTATATTGACGTAGAGGGGCTAGGGAAAACCAACCCCACCAAGGGGTATGAATACATGACTCTGACAGCCAAACAAAAATATTAGTTAAGAGCAAGTAGTGTGGGTATACAAGTTTATCTATCCACTTTTTAAAAAGTAGAGTACCACATAAGCTAAAAAGTGATGATGTAGTACTCTATTTTTTTTATTCATATGTTCCATAGTGTGGATCCCAATTATCTCATTCTCTATTTATTATTTTATTAATTTATTTTAAAAATAAAATAAAAAAATTGATACAAGACAACTCAATAGATACAAGACAGCCCAATAGATAATCGTTGATACAAAACAGCAGCCGCAGCCAATTAAACAAAGAAAAAAAATTGTAGAGTATTCTCTAAAGCTCACTCCATCTGTAGACAACCTAATACTGTAGACAACCTAATACTCCGTACATAATTATTATAGGGCCAACAAAAAAAACACTCCACTTATTTATGCAAACCACCCCCCTCCCCCTCTCTCTCTCTCTCTCTCTCTCTCTCTCTCTAAAACTCCTTCCACACCCGGATGCTTTAAAAGAGTAGCCCAGACAAGGCTGCAAAACTTGAGAAAAACACCATAGTAATAAATAGGTATTTAACTTCACCCTTGGCTAAGTTCACACATACAGAGTTTGTCAAGGCAACCTCCTCTCACTCTTCCAAGAAGACTGGTGAACACTGCAAACGACAAGGGCCGATCTGTTTCAAATAGGATCAAATGAATCAAATTTCCCATAGGATCGATTCAAACGTATTGGATCGAATGAATCAAATGTCCCCAAGTAAGATTCAAATCTACGACCAGTAAGTTAACACCCGACCGCTCTATCACTAAGCTACTGAGGAACAACGGGAGATCAGATTTTATAGAATTCAATTCCAGTTTTCAACCCCTCCTTCGTAACTCAGTGGCTCGATCATGAGCTTGTGTGGCTATAGAAGACTTAGTGGCTCAATCATGAGCGTCTCTGTCCGTTTGGAGGGAAATCAGTGGACAATTCCAACGTTGAGATTCTACATCTCTCTAGATTTTCCTCTTTTGAAGAAGCAGATAAGCTGCCTTTGAAATCATGGAAAGTTTAAGTCAACTCAGAATCAGTGCAGAATTTGGAATGATAGTACAAACTTAGGCTTCAAATACAAAACCACGGTCCCTCCCTCCATATTCCTATACTTGTACGAAGTAGGAGTATTATTTTTCCATATTCCTATACTGGTAAGAAGTAGCACCTCTTTTATAAATAGAAAACCAAACGTATACTTGTTGTAGGAGTAGGAAGTACAGCTAACTAATCAGTTATTTCTATAAATACAGCTAACTCATCAGTTATTTCTTTCATCGCCCCCAAATATCCTTTCTTCTTCCAATTTTTCGATCTTCCCTAACTTCTATCAGAGAGAGAACAATGAAGCTATTGATTCTGTTTCTCCTCACTTTGTTCTTGGCATCGTTTTTTTCTATTTCCTCCGCTTCATGTTCAAACTTTAACTTCCCATCATTTGCGACATGTTCTAATCTTCCAGTCTTGAACTCTTTTCTCCACTGGACCTATAACCCATCTTCCAGAACCCTAAAAGTAGCTTACCAACACACCGTGGATTCTTCGCCGACATGGGTTGCATGGGCTATTAATCCCACGTCAAAAGGGATGGTGGGTTCCCAGGCGATCATTGCATACCCTAAACCTGATGGAAGTATGAATGTCCACACATCACCAATCAATAGTTACGACACAAAGTTGCAACAAGGCAATCTTAGTGTACCCGTATATGATTTATCGGCCTCCTATTCCAACAGTGAGATCACAGTTTTTGCTACTTTTGTACTTCCTAGCAATACCACTAGTATAAACCATGTTTGGCAAGATGGTCCTTTACTTGGGACTACTCTTGGAATGCATGGTGTTTCACCAGATCATCTTCAATCCACGGGGATGCTAAACCTTTCTTCCGGACAGACGGTGACCTCGAAAGGAGGGAAAAACTCAAAGATCATCTTGCGGAATGTAAGTTCAAATTTTAATTTTATTAATGTGTGTGTTTCCATATATAAATATTTGTGTAAGAAAATCTGTTGTTCTAATTGCTGCTATTATTTGTTGTTTAATCACTACATGTTTGGAGATTCAATATTTATGAACCGACTTGGTTTTGTTGGAAGTTCTTATTTTTTATTAATACAAAATTGAAAATAGTTGATTTTATATGGTTGAGTCTTTTTAAGTATACTGTAAAAAAATATATTATATATATATAACTTTTTATTATTATTATTATTTAAATTTCTTTCTTTTCTATCCATGAAACTTTAGACCGGGTTTAGGAGTTATATATTTAAACAAAGTTATTTTTAAAAAATAGAAAAATTACACCAATTTTTATTATTATTATTATTAATACAATGTATATTTTTTTCTATTTCTTCTCTCTGCATCTATGGACGTAGGGCGAAGTTATATTTTATTATTATCAAAGATAGATTACCGAAGCAATATGTTACTTATTAATTTGTTTTTGAATTACACTTTTAATTAATTGATTTCATAAGATAAACTATATTCAAGTGTATATTTTTCTTGCAGTTTTATTTTTTATTTTATAAATGGGGTATTTTTCTTGCTGTTCAGCAAGAACTATATATATTCTTCTTCATTTATTTTTTATTTTTTTTATATATATAATCTGAGAAATACAATTGGCGGAATAAATAAATAGTCTTTTGTACAAATATAGAGAGATACTTTAATTGTCATTCTCAGTAAAGGTTTCCGATATATAACTGTGATTAATTAATTAAAATGATGTCTATAATTTACAGGTTCATGGACTTGTATGTGCAATCAGCTGGGGGATGTTGATGCCAATTGGAGTTATGGTAGCTAGGTACTTGAAGGCGTTCCAACCAAAATCAAGCACATGGTTCCGCCTTCATCGTGGTTTGCAGTCCTTCGCCTTCCTGCTCGGCATAGCCGGATGGGCAACTGGTCTTTATCTTGGCGTCACTTCTCCTGGTGTTCAACATAAGAACCATATGGCCATTGGCACCACCATCTTTGTCCTTGGACTGTTTCAGGTATATTATAACCATAATGCTAATACTTATCATATATGCATATATACCCATCTAAGTACATTACTCTATATATGTTTTTTTTATATATATAGTGTAGAATTAATATTAACAAAAGCTTTTTGTTATTGTGTTTAGGTTTTTGCTCTCTGTCTACGGCCCAAGCCGGACCACAAGTACAGATCTTACTGGAACATGTATCATCATATTGTTGGATATGGAGTTCTGGGTTTGAGTGTGGCCAATATCTTTATAGGATTCAGCATCCTACATCCCGGACAAATATGGAAGATTTCCTACTATGTCACACTTGCCCTTCTCATAGTTTCAGCGCTCCTATTGGAACTTTTTTCTCAGGTCAAAACGTACATGCAAGCCAGGAAGAAGCCAAATCAAGAGAATATTGGTGCTTGATATATATATAATTAAATGGTTTGCTTAAATTGATTAATTCTTGTTGGGAGATTATTAATGTATATCTCTCTCTTTTGTTTATATCTTTTCTCCTTTGTTTTATGTAGACACCTTTCTTGAAGTATTGTCATAAGCTACTTATTGTACTATTGAATTAATATATATATGCATTGTCATTCTTCCTTTGAGTAATTCATATTATGTTTTAAATTATCTTTTCTCATTCTATACTTATTGTATTAAAAATTAATATTCTGATTGATATCAGCCAAACTTACCCACTTTCAAGAATTATTCAAGCATGAAATATTACTTGGGGGCCCAAAAAAAAAAAAAAGGAAATTATTCAAGCAGGAAAAGGTAAAACCCATGTGTTAAACAAATATCATTTGGCATCTGTGTCAATTTTCTAATTTGCACTCACAGTGAATGTAGAATAGTTTTGTTTTATCACTCGTGTTAATCTCCACATTTCACCAAAAAAATAAAATGGTTAATTTATAGACATTCAAACCAGCAGACAGACTGTGACAGTCTATTAATTTTGTAGAATCATTAATACCAAAATTCATGGATTTATTCTTCAACTCACAAGAGCTCAGTTGGATGATTGTAGCAGGTGCTAAATAAAGTGCTTAATTTTTTCATCCCAAAGCTTGTCATAAATTCCGCATTCATCCGTCTTGTAGCTTAGCTTGATTTAAATGCATGAATCTAACATGACCAAAAACAATATTGTTGTGGATTCTCATGGTCTCCTATCATGACGTCTATCCTTTCTTTGACTCTACCATTCTGCGTAACCAAACACAATATTTATGTAATTGTATCCTTTCACTAATCCTATATATGCATATGCGATGTTGTGCCTCGAGTTTTGTTTCTGCCTGAGTTACTTTGTGATTAGGGTTTCAATTGTATCCTTTCACAAATCCTATGTGTGCATATGTGATGTTGTGCCTAAGTTTTGTGTAAAGTCGTTTTAGGGATTAAAGTCCCACAACATTCCTATACTTGAAAGTCGTTTGTGATGTAATGTTAGAGAGCTCCTGTGGGTATAGAACGGTTTTATCTAGTAGTGACTCGGAGATGGAGCTAAGAAGGGCATAGTTAAGAGTAAAATTACTTCAAGATAGCTTTTACATTCACTATGGAGTACTATTATGAGCAAAAAAACAAAAAAAACGTAAGATACAACTGTAGCAGAAGTTGTAAGATCGGATAAAAAAAAAAGAAACGAAAAAAAAGTGATGATGTATATATGATGGTGTGCGAGACAAATAATATGTAATTTTTTTTCTAATTAATAATATGTATTTATTTAAGTAATATGAATTTATCTTTTTCAAATGTTAATGTATCAATTAATTAATTTAAAAAGAGTCATAATTTAACTAATTAAAAAGATTCATTTAATTTGTATAATAATTTAATTGAATTTAATTAATATTTTTTCAAAAAGTGGCGCAAAAATAAACTGCATTAAAAGAGATTGAGGTGCAAAAGGAAATTTAAAAGATAGAGATTGAGCTGGAGCAAGTTGATTGGGAAAGAAAATTGATAAGAAAAAATCAGTGATCGAGGATCAAAAAATGCAATTAGGTCGCGTTTCAAACAAAAGGGAGATATATTATATATATATGTAATGTCTAATGTTTTCATTATATGTGAGAAAATATTAATGTGACCTTTGGTGAAGGACGAATCATTGAATTTTGGGCTTTGAATTTGGTGCATTCTGAAGCGGGTTGTTGAATTCGTTTTGTATTGTTATGTTTGCATATATTTGGGTGTTGTAATTTATTTGGTGATGTGATGATAATGGTGGTGGCGGCTGGCTGGAGAGGATGGAGGTGGTGGGCGAAGGAAACAGAGAAAAGAGACCCATTTGATCTGTTGCAGAGGTTAGATATAGAAAAAGACAATGAAGGAGGGTTATTTTAGACAACAAATTAAGATGTACAGTAAATTTTTCATATCCACCACAAACTTTAAGAAAATTCTATTAATTTGGAAAACTTAATTTTGACTCTATTTTTTTTGCCATTTTCTATTTATTTTTTCTTGCTTACATCAGTAGTGGGGCAAGCATACAATTATATAAGAGTGAGGACAATTTTGTCTTTTTATAGTGACAGTTAAATGGGTGTGAAAGAAAGTTTAATCTTAAGGGCATTTTGGAATTTTTATAAAAAAATTAGTCAAAATTAACAAGCAGGGCAATTTGCACCAAACTTTGATAATACAAGAATTTATATGCATTTATTATTTAATAGGGGTATTTCTTACATATTTTGTATGCAACGAGAGAAATTTTTGCACTTAACCCATAATATAAAATAAAATAAACCAACCATATGAACTATTAATGGCCATTAGTCCCAAAAGTCCAAAATTTTGTGTGATCAATTAATTTAAAATTTTCACAGGTATAGTACTGTTAACAGAAATTTGGAAGATAAGTTTTTGAAATATTCCTTTTGAACTGCATTCTTGATTTAAATGTCTTGATTTAAATAATATGTATGTTATGGGCCGATGCACGTGTTTTGAGAAGAAGAAGAAAAGAAAAAAAAAAAAAAAAAAAAATTTAACTCAAACTTAGTCAGAGGTGTAAGTTAATTAATAAAGTATTTTTAATAGTGTACTAGATCCACCCGAATGATAAAGTTCAGCTCTTTTCTCTACTGGCTTCATAATATAATCAATTATTATCATTATTTAACATGGTGCATTTAAGGGTGCATAACGGGCGGGCCTGCCCGAGCCAGTTGGGCTTTGATTGTTAAACGAGATGGGTGGGGTTGGGTTTGAAGACATATTAGAAAACCCAAGACTGGCTCTTGGGCCTTGGGATAGCAGGCTTGGAATAGAATAGAGTGCAATATGGAAGAATCTCTAAATTTAATTTTAATTTTTATTTTTTAAACGATATTGGCGAGGAAGAATCTCTGAATCGAATCACAATTTTTGGTAAAGAAATTTTGAATGGTATGAAATTTTTAATCAAAACAATTTTGAGAGATAATTTACTAAATTTAATGTGCCAAAGTACAAGGATTTATTTTAATAAGGATGCAATATCCTATTACATAGAGATAGCTTCAATTTTAAATTAAACTGATATTGAATATTATTGCTGATTAAGTTGGTGTTGTTTTATGAGTTGATAAACTCTTTAGAGTACAAATTGTATTGTAACCGGACATATATGTATGGTGTCCAAATTAACTAGCCAAATTTTATTACTAGCCCAGTTTTGAACTTCAAGTTATATGTATGTCAATTGTCTTTTGTAGATGAGGATGGGTGGACAAAATCTGCAAGTGACTTAAACTTGAATTTATTTGTGTAATAAACATATACTCAATTTGCCATCTTAGAACATGTAATCATGCATGGAGGCCATTTTTTAGTTAGGAAGGAAAATGATTGGCGGTTACAAAAGACAATTTGAATGGGAAGCCGAAAGGCTCCACCTACATCCACACACTTAGTATGCCCTTCAACCATTAGACTGTTCTTTTCGGCCCTCCTATTACTACTCTTTTTGGTAGACGTATGAATAATATTTTTTACTTTTGATGAATGACAAACTAGATTGAAGAATATGTGACAATTGAGTTAATGGAATTACAAATTTCTTTTGAGGGCATAAGTAAGATTTATTAACAATTATCAATGAAATTGTATTGTCAGTTGTGTACAAATGAGCCTTTTTTGCATGACATTGATGGTCACAATTTTTTTACCCATGCTTATAGCCATTCCATTTGAATGAAGATTAGCAACATATATATATATATATATATATATATTATTATCATAAGCTATCAAACTATGAATTGACGATTTAGCTACACTATGTTTTTTTTTCTAAATTTGTCACTGATTGAAATAGTGGAGGAAACCAAAAAAAAAAATGTAAAAGGGCTAATTCCTTGGTAGCTCGATCTCATCTTCTGTAAACATAGCTAACTCTAACTTATATCTCATCACAACGTGCATCAACACCAATACTCTGATTATTCGTGGACATGGGTTGCATGGCCTATTAATCCCACATCAAAAGGGATGGTGGCGTCACAGACCATAATCACATACCCGAAAGCTGATGGAAGCACGAATGTCTACACACCACCGATCAATAGTTACGCCACAAGGTTGCAACAAGTCAATCTGAGCGTACCTATCTTTCATTTATGTCTCTTATTCCAACAAGATTACTTTTATGTCTCTTATTCCAACAAGATTACTATTTTTTCTAAGTTTGTGCTTACCAGCCATACCGCTACTATAAATCATGTTAATTAATCTCCACATTTCAAAAAAAAAAAAAAAATTATACGTTCCAAATAAAAATTTTACCAATTTATTTATTTATTTTTAATAGAATCTTTAATACCAAAATTCATGATTTTATTCTTCAAATGACAAGAGCTCTGTTGGATGATTGTAGCAGCTGCTAAATGAAGTGCTCAATTTTTTCATCCCATATATTAAAGCTTGTCATAAATTCTGCTATTTAATTGCATGAACCTAACATGATCAAAAACAATATTGTTGTGGATTTTCATGGTCTCATGTCATGACGCGCGTCTATCATTTGTTTGACTTTACGATTCTGCGTAACCAAACACAATATTGATGTAATTGTATCATTTCACTAAGCCTATATCACTATACGTGCATATGTGATGTTGTGCCTCGAGTTTTGTTTCTGCCGGAGTTGCTTTGTGATTAGGGTTTTAATTGTATCCTTAATTTCACTAATCCTATATGTGCATGTGTGATGTTGTGCCTCAAGTTTTGTTTCTGCCGGAGTTGCTTGTGATTTGGGTTTATGATGTTATATGAGAGAGCACTAAAAATCATTTTAGGCATTAAAGTCCCACCACATTCCTATACTTGAAAGTCGTTTGTGATGTAATATGATAGAGCTAAGAAGGGCATTAGTTAAATGTAGAATTACTTCAAGATAGCTTTTACACTTCACTATG